TAGCCGAGGGAGACAACCGTGGCCTGGCGTTGTTACTGCCCATAATTCCGGCAATTGCCTGGGTTCTGTTCAACATCCTCCGGCCCGCACTTAACCAGATCAACAGTATGCGGAGCACCAAGGGAGTGATCATTGGACTAGGACTCGGCGGATTGGCTGCATCAGGGTTCATCTCAACCCCACATGCCTCCGCTGCTGCCGAGATTGCCACGATTGCCGATGCTTCCTCTGGCGATAACAGGGGCCAGCTTCTTCTGTTCGTGGTGGCGCCGGCCATTCTATGGGTGCTCTACAACATTTTGCAACCGGCTTTGAACCAGATCAACAAGATGAGGTCTTAGTAATCATGGATAGTTATCAAAATTACTTGTAATTGCTTGTTGCAATGAACTCAGTTTTCTCATCCCTTCAACTATTTCCTTGCATTTTTCTTGCTGCGTGTTTCCTTCATTATGAAACCGGAGACAATTTCCAGGTTACTGTGGCTTGGCTTGTTTGGAATAAAATAAAAATCAGGGATCAAATGGAATATAATCGATTATAAACGGTGGACTGGATTACACATCTTGAAAAGTGTTTCTCGATAAATATATATATATATATATATATATAAAAGAAGGGTATGAATATAAATTTTTATTATTAATTTATGTTAAAAAATAAAATTTAATTTTTAATTTATTAATTATATAATTCAATTTATTTACGTAATATAATGACATTAAGATTAATATTAATTTTTATTTTTATCATATGGTACTCTTTTTTTTGGTTTTTAAGGCAAAGCAATATAGTATTATTTCAGAGGAGAAGGGTACTCCATTCTTACATATCGGATGCAGGCGTTACACTATAGCTAAGAGCAAAACTTCTAGCGGCGCATGAATATCGAATAAAATGCAGGAATACAACCTCATCAAAGCTTAGCCCTCCTTCCCCTGTCTTGTAAAGCTTGTCTTGGCTGTAGGCACTAGCCCATAAAACGAAATATAGTTGAAACCCTCCTCCTTCTGCGCCACAACTAAGCCCTGGTCTGCACAAGATCCAGCCTATCCTCGTTAATTGCCTAGTTCCGAAACACAATATCATTTCTACACAACCAGATCGACCATATATACTACTGCAAACCAGACCAGATGCCAGCAGTCGTTAACTAATTTTGAGTCCCCGACCCATACATGCTAGCTGCGGGTATACATCCTTACATTCATTACTCAAAACAAAGCATATAATCCCCACCACCTAGAACATTTCTGCCATAAGCCATAAGCTATCTCACATGAAATAAAACAAAGGGGTTCACCACTTCTTGATTTTTACCACACAGCCTACACACAGCATTTTGTTCATCATCAAGGACTCATCTTTTGACCAGATTTGATCTAGTGTTCAATTTGTTCAATCAAAAGTTGCCATGCGAAAGCGTTTTCCTTGAAAGGAATCAAAGGTTTTCCAAAACCTTTTAAAGAACCCCGGTGTTGTCCTCCTCAATGTTTGCCAGCA